CGAGAAGCTCGACGCGAAGAACGCGTGGCGCTGCGGCGGCTGCTCCGAGCCCGTGCGCGCGACGAAGCGCCTCGGCGTCGCCGCGGCGCCCGAGGCCCTCGTCGTGCACCTCAAGCGCTTCGACGCGCGGGGCCGCGTCGCGCGCAAGGTCGACGCGCACGTCGCCTTCGGCGCGCGCCTCGAGCTCAAGACGACGGACGGCGGCGCCGCGTCCTACGGCCTCGTCGGCGTCCTCGTCCACCACGGCCAGTCGACGCACAGCGGCCACTACACGGCCTTTTGTCGGACGCGGTCGGGGGCCTGGTCGTCCTTCGACGACGACGCGGTCCGCGCGTGCGCGCTCGCCGACGTGCTCCGCCAGAGGGCCTACATGCTCTTCTACGCGCGCGACACGCGGCCGCCGGAGCAGCTCGTGTCGCGGGAGCGCGCCGCGAGCATCGAGAGCAACAACCCCATCGACCTGCCCGAGCCCGCGCCGGCGCCGCCGGCGACGCCGACGGTCGTCTCGGTCGTCGCCATGGACCTGCTGACGGGCCGGCGGCGCCTGCTCGCCGCGCGCGACAAGGCGCGGAAGCGCGTCGTCGCCGTGAGCCACGGCTACCCGCGCAAGCTCGCCGTGGGCAAGCGGCGGCGGAAGCGCCTCCGGCTCTGCGTCGTCGACGAGGACGAGGAGGAGGAGGAGGAGGAGGAGGAGGCGCCGAAGGCGGCGCGGGAGGCCGACGCCTCCTCGGACGACGACGACGACGGCGACACGACGGCGGCCCTGGGCCCGCTGTCGCCGCGGCCGCCCTTCTCGCCGCGCGTCCGCGGCCCGAGCCTCGACATGCCGCCGCCGGGCCCGACGGAGTCGCCGAAGGCGCGGCCGGCGATGCCGCCGCCGCTGCCCCTCGAGGCGGCGCCCTCGAACCACACGGTCTGGGGCGGCTTCGAGGTCGGCGGCTGGGACGACGACGACGCCGCCGCGGCGCCGCGGCCCAGGCCGAAGCCGAAGAAGGCCAAGACGGGCGCCCGCTACGACGCCTGGGACCGGTCCCTCGACGCGCCGCGCCGGGGCAACTGGGACGACTGAGGCTGGGGGTTTGGGGGTTTATCATCGTTCCGCGGTGCTGGTTCTTTACGAGCTCTCCTCCTCGCAGGGCATGCCCGCACGCGCTGCGGCGAAGTCTGCGGCGCCTGCGCACGCCTGAACTCGAGGACGTTGACGTCGTTGCTGCACTGACTGTCGGCGCCTAGCGAGATCCTAGCGAAGCCGCGGACTCGGGTGCACAGCGTCGCGACGCGCCCCCAACGCCCCCTTGACGTCTTCGCCCCTCTCCCACGACGCTAAGAAGAACCATGTTCGACCCCGCTAACGTGAACAAGAAGAAGGAGAAGCGCGTCGCCATCCAGTGAGTGCCCCCCGCTTCCGCCGCCCGGCCGAATCCCTGACCTTTTTGCGTAGGCGCGTGTCCCAGTGGGTGCGGCAGAAATTACCGCCGAACTTCCGGCAGCTCGCGGCGAACCCGCAGCAGCTGCGCATCGACGTGCGCGAGATCGTCTGCGGCGACCCGGCGTGTTCGCCCATCGACACCGTCGTGTCCTTCGTCTTCGACAACGCGATCCGCGGCGAGATCGGCTTCCCCTTCGAGGTCGACCACATGCAGCCCGCGGACCTCGAGGAGGAGGGGTCGATGCCGCCGCCGGAGGTCCTCGAGGACTGGCGCCGGGGCCGGTCGACGCCCTGGCCGCCGGCCCCCGCGCCGCCGAGCGACGACGAGCTCCGCTTCGTCATGGGCCAGGCCGTCGAGTGCTGCGTGGGCAAGGGCGTCTGGCAGCCGGGGACCGTCGTCGCGCTCTGGTACAGCGAGGCCGGGTTCCCGCCGGGCTTCTTCGCGCCCTACCAGATCGAGACGGACGACGGGCGGCTCATCTTCGCGCCGGAGGACTCGGACCGCTGCGTCCGAGAGCGCGCCGGCGCGCCGGCGGCCCCGGCCCGCAAGTCGAAGTCGCCCGTGAGGCAACAGGAGTGGTGAGGCGCCGTCGTTTTAACGCGCGACCGTCGTCGTTTTTGTTTGTGTCTTCTTTTTGGTTGGAGAGGTTCTTACCTGGGTGCATCGGGCTAGAGCATCGGGCATGCGCTGCAGCTGCGCGAATCTGCGCGAGGTGCTGCGCGAAAGTCTGCGCGCCGCGGCCGCCGCGCCGCGGAAGTCCGGCGCCGCGGCGGCACATGCGGCGGCATCGAGTCGGTGGTGAAGGAACGCACGCCAAGTGCTCGGCTCCGAGGTCCTTGAGGACGCCGATAACAACAGTCGGTCTCGCACGACGCGCGCGGGCAGCAGAACTTCCCCCCCGGGCGGGCGGCCATGGACGGGCTTCAGTCGACGCTGCGGCGTCGGCGGCGGGGCCCCGCGACGGCCCTGGCCCTGAAGCGATCGACGGCGCGGCGCGGGCTGCGCGTGCGCACCTGGGTGCTGCGGAGCAGCCTCCTCGTGCTCGCGGTCTTCCTCGTCTCCATCACCATGGTCGGGAGCGAGGCGCGGCGCCGGCTCGGCGGCGACGACGACGACGACGGCTGCTGCTCGGGGAGCGACAAGGTCCGCGCGGACCCGCGGTGGCTCGTCGTCTTCTACATCGGAGGCATCACGTACATGTTCCTCGCGCTCGCGATCGTCTGCGACGAGTACTTCGTGCCCGCCCTCGAGGAGATGGCCGAGGACATGCACATGTCCCTCGACATGGCCGGCGCGACCCTGATGGCCGCGGGCGGCTCCGCGCCGGAGCTCTTCACGTCGTTCGTCGCGACGTTCAAGCGGTCCGACTTGGGCTTCGGCACGATCGTCGGGTCCGCGGTCTTCAACATCCTCTTCGTCATCGGCGTCTGCGCGTCGGCCGCGCCGGCGCCCCTCGTGCTCACCTGGTGGCCCCTGCTGAGGGACTGCACGTACTACGCGATCGCGCTCGGCGCGCTGACGTTTTTCTTCGCGAACTCGGACCCCGCGGTCATCCACTGGTACGAGTCGCTCATCCTCTTCCTCATGTACTTTGGGTACCTGGCGGTCATGGCCCAGAACAAGAACCTGCACTACGCCTTCATGAAGCGCGTCATGGGCAAGTCGGACGCGGAGTGCCGCGCGGAGATCGCCGAGGCCGACGACGAGGCCGTCGAGCCCGAGGCATCGCGCGAGGTCGAGGAGCCCGCGACGGGCGCCAAGCCCCGGCGCGCGTCCCAGGTCAACGCGCGGTCCAAGGCCCTCGCGGGCCGCTTCCGCGCGGGCGTCTTCACGATATTGACGGAGCGCAAGACCGTCTTCGAGATGGCGGGCATCGCCGCGGTGACGCGCATCGTCGGCGACGCCAACGAGACCTTCGACGGCATCGACGCCGACGCCAGCGGCAAGATCGACCGCGACGAGCTCGAGGCCTTTTTGCGCAAGGAGGGCTGCTGCGACGAGCAGCTCTCGCCCGAGGCGATGGCGAAAGCCGTCGAGGACATGGACGGCAACGGCAACGGCGAGATCACGCGCGAGGCCTTTGTCAAGTGGTACTCGACCTGCGAGGCCCAGGTCCTCGCGGAGACGCGGCGCTGCTGGGACATGTTCGACCTCAACGGCGACGGCCGCCTCGACGCGTCCGAGGTCGTCCACGTGCTCAAGCAGATGTCCGGGGACGACGACGTCGACGAGGACGGCGCCCTGAAAGCCATCGCGGAGATCAAGGACGGCGCGCGGGCGTCGGGCGTCGAGACGGCGGGCATCGAGCTCACGGACAAGGGCGCGCCCCTGCCCGCGTCGACGGACACCGTGGGCTTCGACGAGTTCAAGGCCTGGTTCGCCACGTCCGAGTTCTTCCAGGCCAAGTCGAGCCAGACCAAGGCCGTCGTCGAGGCCGCGGGCGACGAGGAGGACGGCGAGGGCCTGTCGCTGTCGTGGCCGGCGGACGCGAGCCCGTCCGGCAAGTTCTTCTTCGTCGCGTCGTTCCCGCTCGTGGCGCTCTTCAAGGGCTCCATGACCTGCCTCGGGCCCTACGCGCGCTTCGTCGTGTCCATCCTCTGGATCGGCATCTTCTCCTACTTCATGGTCGAGTGGGCGACGGTCGTCGGCGACACGCTCGGGATTCCCTCCGTCGTCATGGGGCTGACCTTCTTAGCGGCGGGCACGTCCGTGCCGGATTTGCTTTCGTCGGTCATCGTCGCGCGCCAGGGCCACGGCGACATGGCCGTGTCGTCGAGCGTGGGCTCGAACATCTTCGACGTGCTCTTCGGGCTCCCCGTGCCGTGGCTCTGCTACGCGATCTACCACGACGAGCCCGTGCTCGTCTGCGCGGGCAACCTGGCCATCTCCATCATGGTGCTGATCGGCATGATCTGCCTCGTCGTGGGCATGATCAACTACAACAAGTGGCGGATGACCAAGTCCATGGGCAACGCGATGTTCGTGTCCTACGGCTTCTTCGTCGCGCAGGACCTCATCCGCGTCTTCCTGCCCAACGTCTTCGGCGGCGACTGCTAGGCGGTCATGCGAAGACGAGGGGGCGCGGCGCTCCTGTGAGCCGCGCCCCCGCCTTTTTTGCGGCTCGCCGGCCGCCGCCGCGGTCCCCCGCCCCTTGCCCCCGACTCGCCGTCCCCCCTTCGCCGGGCGCCGCTCCCGGAGCCGGCCGCCCGATGCCCCCCCCTCTCGCGCCGCCCCCGCTTCCCCCTATGCCGCTCGCGCGACGCACCCCGCCCCATAAACCACCGTCGCCGCGAGTGCTATAGGGGACGCCCTCACAAGTCGAACCTCGGTCCGACGACGCGCGTCACAACGCGGCCTCGGCGGCCCGCGCCGCGAGGACCGCCTCGCGCACGACGGGGCCGATGAAGAAGTGCCAGCCGCTCAGCACCGCGAGGAACGCGAGCCCCGCCTGGTCCTTCGGCTCGAGGCAGCCTTCGCCGAAGCCAGGAGGCCGCGCGTCCTCGTCGGAGTCCTTCGCGCGCGACGCTGTGCGCCGCCGCGCGCGCGCGTTGGGTGACGAGGATTCCTTGGCACGGAGCGCCGTGCGTTGCCGCGCGCGCGCGTCGATCAGCGCGGCATCGGACCGTAAGTGCTGCCGACTGGTCGAGGGCATGTGAAGCGATGTAGATGGACTGCGGCGGCTGCTAAAGGCGCTCGCGCCGCAGACGACCATCAATGCGACCCAGCGCGTCATCTACGGACCCCGGCGCACTGCTGGAATGGAGCGCTCCCGTTGTGAACGCGAAGGACACGACGCTCGACGCTTTGGTTGACCAGGGCTTGCACTCGATGTTGATTTTGCCACAGGCGATGTGCCACTCTAAGGCTGCTAGCCGCCGCACTTTTGCAGCAATAAGCTGCCAGCAATCACAGAACACGCACTCGTGACACCGATGCCCAAATCCAAGAAAGACAAGCAGGGCGCCGCGCGCTTCGAGACCTACTACGCCTTGCAACACATCGTGCCCGACAGCGAGTGGCCGACCTTCCTCAAAACGCTCGCAACGCCGCTCCCCATCACGTTCCGCATCACCGACGCGACGCACGACGGCCACGCGGCCTGGCTCGAGGCCGAGGCCGCGCGGCTCGGCGCGACGCGGCTGCCGTGGTACGCTTGCGGCGCGTCGACCGCGTGGACGTTCGCGGGCGAGTCGCGCCGGGGCCTCCGGGCGGCGCGCGACGCCGCGCGCGACGCGGCGCTCCGCGACTTCCTCGTCTCCGGCACGACGAGCCGGAACCTGTCGCGGCAGGAGGCCGTGTCCATGGTGCCCGCGCTGCTGCTCGGCGCGGCGCCGGGCTGGGCCGTGCTCGACGCTTGCGCGGCTCCCGGCAACAAGACCGCGCAGCTCCTGGAGCGCTGCGGCCCCGGCGGCCTCGTCGTCGCCAACGACCTGTCCAAGAAGCGGTCCTACGCGCTCGCGTGCCACTGCGCCGCGCGGCTCGGCGTCCGCGCGGCTCGGCTCGTCGTCGCGTCCGGAGACGCGGCGCGCTTGCCGGGGCCGGACGGCCGCTTCGACGGCGTGCTCTGCGACGTGCCCTGCTCCGGCGACGGCACGATCCGCAAGGCGCCGCGCGTGCGCGAGGCCTGGGCCTGCGACGGCGGCGACAGGCTCCACGGGACGCAGGTCGCGATCGCGCGGCGCTGCGCGGCGCTTCTGCGGCCCGGCGGGCGCATGGTCTACAGCACGTGCTCGTTGAACCCCGTCGAGAACGAGGCCGTCGTCGCGGAGGTGCTGCGCCTCGAGCCCACGCTCGAGCTCGCGGCCGCGGCGTCGCCGCTGCCGGCGCGGCCGGGGCTGACGACGTGGGCCCCTTGCAGGGACGACGGCGGCGGCGTCGCGCGCCTCGACGACGACGGCGGCAGCCGCTTCCCGCCGAAGCAGGACGCGCCGCCGCTCGAGCGGTGCCTGCGGTTCCTGCCGCACGACGGCGACACGGGCGGTTTTTTTTGCGCCGTTCTGGAGAAGCGCGCGTCGGCGACGCCGCCTCCGCCGCCGCCGCCGCCCCCGGCGCCGCCTCTCGTCGACGGCGCCTACCGGCCCATGGGCGCCGACGCCTGGGCGGCGGTCGCCGACTTCCTCGACCTCGCGGCGGCGCCCGGCCACGTCATGGTCCGGTCCGAACACGGCGAGGCCGCGTGGCTGCTGAGCGACGAGGCGCGAGACGAGGCGTCGCGGCTCCAGGCCGCGGGCCGCGCCGTCGAGCACGCGGGCGTCAAGATCCTCGACCGGCGCGGCGGCGGCGCCGCGGGCGGCATGCCCCACCGGCTCTGCGGCGACGGCGTCGCCGCGCTCCTGCCGTCGCTCGGCGACAAGCGGCGGCTGAGGCTCGACGCGGCGGCCTACGCGGCGCTCCTGGAGGACGGCCGGACCGCGGCGCCGGACGACGTCGGCGTCGGCTCCCTCGTCGCGACGCTCGGGGACGGCGAGCTGCCGATCGTGCTCTGGAAGGGCGCGCGACGGTCCGCGTCGCTCATGAGCGCCGCGGACGACGTCGCGCGGCTTCGCGGCGTCCTGGGCCGACGACGAGCGGACCAGGCCCGGTGCGTCCTGTCCTAACGCGTTACGTGTCGAAGAAGTAGGGCGGGTAGGGCAGGCCCGAGTTGAGCGGCGGCTTGATGCGCTGGCGCACCTCGAAGGCGCCCTCGTCGACGGCCTTGAGCCCGCCGTGGACGGCGACGTCGGCGGCGTTGCGCAGGCCCACGTCGAAGGCGCTCGCCGCGCCCCGGTCCGCGGCGGAGTTGACGAGGCGGTTGCCGCGGACGCCGTCGAAGACGAAGGCCGGCCGGTCGTCGTTGTGCGCCGCGCGCACGTCCCACTTCTCGAGCGTCACGTCGACGGCGTTGCGCACGAAGGCGCCGAAGGCCGGCGACGGGCCGACGTTGCGCTCGACGTAGGACTTGGGGTTGTGCGCGGGCTCCCAGAGCTTCATCGCGGCCTCGCCCTTGCCCCAGACCTCCGCGCGGACGTTCGTGATGGAGATCCGCGGCCCGAGCGGGTGGTTCTCCAGGGCCTCGTAGGCGGGCACGGACCGCTTCGAGCCCGACGTCCACCGGCCCTTGGCCAGCCCGTCCAGATGCGTCGAGTAGTTGTAGGAGTAGCCCTTCCACGCGTTCGGCGCGGACACGTTGTGCGCGAGCACGTTGTTGATGGACACGTCGGAAATGGTGCCGATCCACTCGTCCATCACAACTTGAGCATCGCCGATGCCCGGCCGCCGCAGGCGCGCGCCGACGACGATGAAGGCCAGGGCCTGCACGTTCTGCGCGCGGATCCGCTCGTAGCGGACCCGGGAGATGTGGGACCCGTCCATGGTCACGATGGACATGGCCGCCTTGGCGGCGCCGAGCACCGTCACGTTGTGGAATAAGATGTCGGAGATGTTGCCCACGGTCTCCGAGCCGATCTGCAGGCCGTTGCACTTCTCCGAGCGGACGACGGAGTTCGTGACCTGGACGTCGTACATGGGCAGGACGCGCCGCAGCGCCCAGTCCGACTTGAGCGCGATGGCGTCGTCGGAGCCGCCGCGCACGTGCAAACGGTCGAGCTTGACGTGGCGCGACGAGATGACGTTGACGCCGTCGCGGGCCGCGGCGACGTCGACGTGGCGGACGACCGCGTGGGACGCGTTGTTGAGCAGGAGCGTGATCCAGCCGCCGCGGGCGAGGCGCAGGGGCTCGCCGGCGCTGCCGTGGATGGCGACGTTCTTCGACGACTTGACGACGATGAGCTTCGTCGGGTAGTTGGTCGCGGGGTCGAAGCGGCCGCCGACGGGCTCCGTGTGCGGGATCTCCGACCGGCCGTCGACGGCGCCGCCGCCGCGCAGCGTCACGTTCTCGCAGTCGTGGATGAGGATTAGAGCGTCGTCGAGGTTGCTGTGGCCGTAGTCCTGGAACCGGTCCTGGTTCCAGGCCTGGGCAGGAAAAGGGTGCGACATGCCCAACGTCAAAGGCTCCTCTCTCGGTCGTTTTCCGCTCGTTTCGGCTGATTTTTGGACGAGCGATCATCTCTCGGAGCGCTCTCGAAGCGTGGATGCTAGTTCCGAAACGCGCGCGCGCGGAACACTCACGTTGAAGCGACGTTGCATCACCCTGTTCCGGCCCTGGTTCCAGGCCGTCTTCTTCCGCTTCCTGTAGAAGTCGGCCTCGGGCCGCGCGTAGCGGCCCCGCTTCGCCTTGATGGCGAGCAGCGCCGCGGACGCGCGGATCTCGAGCACGCTGTGGCTCCGCAGGCGCACCGTGCCGGAGAGGTAGGAGCCCTTGCGCAGCACGACGTGGTCGCAGGCGCCCAAAGCCGCGGTGATGGCCGCCGTGTCGTCGCTGACGCCGTCGCCCGCGGCGCCGAAGGCGCGCGCGTCGCAGTAGGCGTCGCTCGCGGCGATCGGGAGCAGCAGGAGGATTACGAGCAGCATCGCGCGCTATCTCCGAGGCTGCCCAGCCGCATCGCGATTCATATTTTTTTGCATCGAGAGCATTTTGCAGCGCGGCACCTTGCCGTTGTTTTGACGTGAGATTGCTGTGGCGATTCAAGTGCCGCCATTGCCGCCGTCGCGCAAGGCGCTCCGACCGCGCTGCTGCGTCGCCCTGCGGGCGCTCCGACCGCGCTGCTGCGGCATGGTCGCCTGGCCGAGTCGCGAGGAGCTCAACTGCTGGATTACGCTCCAGCTGGCCATCAGCGGCTCCGGCGTCCTGCCGCTGCCGCACTGCTTCGCCGCCGTGGGCGTGCCGCTGGGCGTCGCCTGCTGCGTCGCCGTCGCGCTGCTCAACGACGCGACGACGCAGTGGCTGCTGGCGGCGGCGGCGCCGCTGCGCCTCGGCGAGCGCGTCGCGCGCAGCTACAGCGACCTCGCGGCGCGCGCCAACTTCTCCGCGCGGACCAAACTCGCGGTCGAAGCGTCGAGCGCTATCCTCCTCTTCGGGTCGCTCGCGGCCTGCCTCGCGGCCGTCGGCGAGAACGCGGCGCGCGCCGTGCACACGGCGTCGGGCTGGCGCGCGGCGGCGGAGGCGCGGGTTTTAGCGCCGGCGGCCGCGGGCCTCGGCGCGGCCGCGGCCGGCCTCCGCGCCTTCGACGACATGGCCTGGACCTCGGGGCTGGGGCTCCTGTTCCTCGCGGCGCTGCTCCTCGCCGTCGTCGGCGCCTGCGCCGCGACGCTCGGCGACGGCGGCGCGCCGCCGCTCGCGCCCGAGTCGTGGGCGGAGCTGCCGTCCGCGGTCTCGACGCTCGGCTACTCGCTCTACGTCGGCCCCATCGCGCTGTCCATGGTCGACGACCGGCCCGGGCGCCTGGGCGTCGTCGCGCGGGCGACGCACGCCTGCTTCCTCACGACGACGTTGATCTACGTCGTCCTCGGCGTCGCCGGCGCGTCGTGGCTCGGGCGGGCCACGCCCTCGGACGTGTCGACGGCGTTCTCGCCGGGCGTCCGCGGCGGCGCCTGGGCCGCGAATTTCGTGCCCGGCGGCACCGTGCTCTACCTCGCGCTCGCGACGGCGCCCATGCTGAACCCCCTGCGCGATTCCGTCGCCGCGCTCGCGGGACGGGAGGTCACGGACGGCGCGGTCACGGCGGCGGTGCTGGCGCTCGTGGTCCTGAGCGTCGTCCTGGCGTCGACGCTCGAGTCGCTGCTCATCTTCTCGCTCTCGGGGGCGACGGGCGTCTGCGTGACCTGCTACGTCGTCCCCGTCGCGTGCCTCTGGTCCATCCCGCGCGACCGCGACCCGAGGGACTACGTCGGGTACCGGCGGTCGAAGGCGGCCTTCCTCCGCGACGTTGTGGGGCCGGGCCTGGCCCTGTTCTTCGGCGTGAGCTTCTCCGCGCTCACCGTCGTCCTCGCGGTCCTGCAGACCGCCGAGTCGGTCGTCGTCGCCGGCGAGGCGTCCCTGGGACCCGAGGAGGGCTAAACATCGCGCGTTACCTCGCGGCGGCGCTCGGGCGCCAGCGGGCGTCGTCGGCCGCGGGCGCGAGGACGAAGAGCCAGCGCGGGAAGTAGAAGCTCTTGGGCCGGCGGCCGAAGAACTGGATGATGGAATTGATCAAGGTTACCTTAGCTAGCGTCGGTGCTTGAAGCGTCTTTCTTGCGAGCCGGCTTGGTTACTTTCGTACTCATAACTGACTCAGCCCCCGGGCCGCCACATGGCCGCGCGCGCCGCGGCGACGAGGTCCGCCGGCCGCGGGAGCTTCGTCGCCGTGCCCGCGTCGTAGGCGTTCGCCGCGACGGCCGCGGCGACGCGCGCGGAGACGTCGCGGATGTCGGCGAGGGGCGGGTAGACGCAGCCCTGGGCGAGGCGGTCGTCGGCGACGGACGCCGCGAGGGCCGTCGCGGCGGCGTACATGTCCTCGTCCGTGACGCGCGTCGCGCCCGCGAGGACCGCGCCGAGGCCGATGCCCGGGAAGCAGTAGGCGTTGTTGCCCTGGCCCGGCACGCGGACCGAGCCGTCGGGCATGGTCACCGCGTCGAAGGGCGACCCCGACGCGAAGACGGCGCGCGGCGCGGCCGCGTAGCACTCCGCGGCCGTGCACTCGGCCTTCGAGGTCGGGTTCGACAGCGCGAAGATGACGGGCTGGTCGTTGAGTCGCTGCATGGCCTCGAGGACCGCCGCGTCGAACGCGCCGGGGACCGCGGCGACGCCGATCAAGGCCGTCGGCTTCGCGAGCTCCACGGCGTCGAGGAGCGTCGCCGCGCCGCCGACGTCGCGCGCGTAGGGGGCCTTGTGGACCGCCAGGTCGCCGCGGGCGCTCGTCACGAGGCCCTGGCTGTCCACGAGGAAGACGCGCTTCCGCGCGTCGTCGAGCGCCTCGCCCGTTTCGCGCGCGACGGCCTCGGACACGAGATTCGCGATGCCGACGCCCGCTTCCCCGGCGCCGAAGAACAGGAACGTCTGGTCCGCCAGAGTCCCGCCGGTGATGCGCAGCGAGCTCAAAAGCCCGGCCAAGACGACGGCCGCGGTCCCCTGGATGTCGTCGTTGAAGCAGCAGCACTCGCTTCGGTACTCCTCGAGCAGACGGAACGCGTTCGCGTTCCCAAAGTCCTCGAACTGGATCAACACGTTCGCGCCGTAGAGCTCCTTCGCCGCGTCGACGAGCTCGCGGACGAGCGCGTCGTAGTTGGCCGACCGGTCGCGCGGCCGGCGCGCGCCGACGTACGACGGCGACTCGCGGAGCTCTTCGTTGTCCGTGCCGACGTCGAGCGCGACGGGCAGGCAGCGCGCCGGGTCGATGCCCGCGCAGCAGGAGTACAACGCCAACTTCCCGACGGGGATGCCCATGCCGTGCGCGCCCAGGTCGCCGAGGCCTAAAATCCGCTCGCCGTCCGTCACCACCACGACGTCGACCGCGTCGCGCGCGGCGTTCTCGAGCGCGGCGCGCACGCCGCCGAGGTCGTCCAGGGTCACGTAGACGCCGCGCGGGCCTGCGTGGTGCAGCTCGCCCCAGCGCTGGCACGCCTCGCCGACCGTCGGCGTGTAGACGATGGGCATGACCTCAGCGGTGTGTTCCAGCAGAATCGCCTGGTAGAGCGTCTCGTCGCTGTCCTGGACGTGCTGCAGGAACTGGTACTTGTCGATGGCGTGGGCGTGGCGCCGGAGCGCGGCCATGGCGTGCTCGACGCGCAGCGCCAGCGGGATCTCGCCGTGGGGCAGCAGGCCGCGCAGGTGCGCCGGGCGCGGCACCGGCGTCGACGTGCCGCGGTTGAGCCACGGCGTCTTGAGCTCCTGGAAGCCATTGCGAGTTTCGCCAGCTGCGAGCAGCAATAGCCATGCAGCTGCGGCGAGCGCGCGCCTCGCTGGTGGCGCCTTCATCGCAAAATCGGATGCAATAAATCGAGTGGCAATTTGAGTGCAAGTTGGCCAGGTTGCAGTGGCTGGCGCGCGGCTAGGCCGGCCTGCCGCCGTCATCGCGCGCACGAATCATCCGTCGCAGCGCGCGAACGCGTCGCATCGCCATCGCTGCGCCAAAAAACGCAGCGATGTGGCGCTCTGCCGCTTGCCTGCTTCTGTGCTGCACCAGCCACCATGCCCTGCGGTGCAGCGACGCGCGACGAGCACCGCGCGGCGCGCCGGAGTCGTCGCGACGAGCAGCACCGCGCGCGCTGGCGGTGCGCGCGGGCGGCGCGCCGGAGTCGTCGAGCGTGCTACTCGTCGTCGCCGCGGCGCTCGTCGACGAGGCGCATCGAGTGCTCATGGCGACGCGCGCCGTCGACGGCCGGGACCTCTGGGAGTTCCCGGGAGGCAAGGTCGACGCCGGCGAGACGCCTGAAGCGGCCCTGGCGCGCGAGCTCCGCGAGGAGCTCGACGTCGTCGTCGACGCGACGGCGTCGTTCGAGCCCGTGACGTTCGCGAGCCGATCGCTCGGCGCGCGGCACCTCCTCATGCCCCTCTTTCTCGTCGACGCCTGGACCGGAACGCCGCACGCGCTCGAGGGCCAGCGTTCCATCCGGTATTTTGCCGCTGACGACCTCGACGCGCTCGACGCGGCGGACGTCGTCGCGGCGGACGTCGCCATGCTTCCCGTCGTCGCCGCGCGGCTACGGGCGCGCGTTACGTGATCTTAGACGTCCGGACGTCGTCGCGGCGGACGTCGTCCCGGGCGCGCGCCACGTAATCTTACACGCCCTATGTACACCCGCGCTACTTGGGCTTGGAGAGGACGAGCGCGGCGACGACGGCGCCCGCGAGGAACGCCACGGCGTGCGTCTCATCAATCTCGTCGGGGACGAAGCGCGCGAGGCCGGCGGGCAGGTACTTGCAGAGCGAGCGCCGCCAGTGCGGGCTTGCCGCGAGCAGGCGGTCGAGGTCGCCCTTGAGCTCGACGACGTCGTCGACCTCCTCGCGCGTGAGCACGTCGTCGGCCGCGGTGACCTTCGACCGAGTCCGCGACGCGACCGAGTCCTTTGCGCCGCGCCGCGCCGCGGCGTCGGACTTGGCGGCGCCGCGGCGCATGTCGGCGTCGCGTTGGCCGCGCTTCTTCCACCACTCGTCGATCAAGCTGGACGTGCTGCTCGCGTTCGAATCCGCGCGGGGGCGGCCCTGGTGGGCCTCGTAGGCCGCGTATTCTTCTTCGTCGGAGGAGGACTTGTCGCCCTTCTTGGGCGGAGAAACCGCGGAGAAGAGCCCGAAGCTTCCGGCCGGCGACTTGCGCCCGGCGGCGGCGACGTCGAGGGGATCGATGGGGTGAACTCGCGTGGACATAAGCAGCTTCTACGAGTGCGTTTTGAGGCGTCGGGAGCGGTCGAGGCGGTCGGAACCGTTTGAGATCTGAGCCCTATCGGCGGCGTCGAGCCGTCGATTCAACGTCGTCTGCGCCATCTCACACCTTGACGTCGACTTGGACGATGGAGCCCTGAGTGAGATGCTCAAACGCCTCGCGCTCGCCGCGTGCCTCTGGCGCAGCGCGCTGCCGGAAAACGCGGAGGACCGCTGCGCGCACGTCGCGTTCGAGGACGTCGCCTTCGCCGCCGAGTTCCTCCGGTCCGAGGGCGTCGACGCCACGCCCGCCGGCTGGCCGAGTGCGCGGCGGCGCGTGCTCAACTACGACGCCCGCGCCTGCCCGGACCCGGCGGCGCCCTACGTGGCGACGGGCTTCCGGGCGCGGGACCGGCCGCGCAAGGTCTTCGGCGTCGGCCTCAGCAAGACGGGCACGACGTCGCTCCACAACGCCTTGCTGAGCGTCGGCTTCTCGAACAGCGACATGGCCGACGAGTTCTGGCCCGCCGTCGTCGACGCGGCGAGCGAGGCCGACGTGTTGGAGTTCTGGGCCGGCGGCGAGGCGGCGCGCCGGGGCTCGGCGGTCGCCGCGCGGACGAAGCGGCTCTTCGCTCGCCATACCGGAGGCACGGACCTGCCGACCGCGGCCTTCGTCGACGAGCTCCTCGCGGCCCACCCCGACGCGTTGTTTGTGCTGACGACGCGGCGCCTGGACGACTGGGGGCGGTCGGCCTTCCAGCAGTTCTCGCGGCCCATCCGGGGGACGACGATCGGCCGGAATCGCGCGTCGGCCTTCGGCGCCGTGGCCTTCGACGCGCACCTCTACCGCAAGCGCTACCTCGAGCACTACGCCAAGGTCTTGCGGTTGATCCCCTGCTGCCAGCTTTTAGTGATGGACGTCATGCGCGGCGAGGGCTGGGAGCGGCTCGGGCCGTTCCTGCACCTCGACCCGAAGAGGGCGCCCGCGGGCGCGTTCCCGTGGATCAACCCGGGCATCTCCGGCGGGCCGGACCTGACGAAGCGGCGCGCCGCGGCGGACGTCCTTTTTGTGAAGGGCGACGAAGACGGCGACGGCTTCCTCGCCTTCGCGGAGCTCGAGGCGCTCCTTGCGACGCTGCCGCCGCCCGTGATGCCGCGCGTCGCCTACGACAACTGGACGACGCCCCTCATCGAGCGCCACTGGGAAAAAAGCTACGCGGGCCTCGCGACGACCCAGCGCGACGCCCGGGGCATGGACCGGACCTCCTTCTTCAAGTTCTGCATGCGCCTGAACCTCGTCGGCGGCATCAACGTGGGCCGGGGGAAGAAGCGGCGGCCCGGCTAAGAAAAAGCGAGTTTAAAAACGAAGGCGACTACCAGTAGCAGAGCTCGACGCCGTCGTCGTCGTCCTCCGTGTTCGAGCAGACGCAGGCCGTGTTGACGAGCGGCGTCGCCGGGTCCGGGAACCACTTGCTCCAGCGCGAGTTCGCCCACTCGATCATGAGGTCGACCTGGGCCACGAAGTCCTCGGCCACGGTCGACGACATGAACATGTAGAGCGACCCGTTGATGACCTTGTAGTCCGACGTCGAGATGGGCGGCCCCAGGTTCGACGCGTTCCAGTAGAAGCCGTCGGACTCGTACTCGGTCGCGATGCCGTAGGAACAGAAACCGCCGTACATGGGCAGGTAGTCGACGGGGTTCGCCCGGAACGTGTCCCGGTTCGTCGCGTTGGCGAAATAATAGAGGAACCCGCCGAACTCCGCCTGGAACTCCGCGGAGCCCTCGGACACGGAGCCGCTGCCCGAGTCGGGGAAGTACGTCGTCACGTCCATGCCCCGGAGCGCGGGCTCCGTGAGCGTGCTGCAGTTGCAGCCCTCCGTGCAGGCCGTGCGGTGGAGCGCCTCGCCGGTTAGAGCGTCGAAGACGCGGTCGTCGTCGCTGAACGCCGGCGGCCGCGCCGGCGGCTGCCGGTCCGCGGGCCTTTCGACGTCGTCGTCGTCGCCGCCCAGCGCCTCCAGCGCCTGGGAGACGCGGTCGTGGACGGGGTCCCGGTACTGGTAGGCGACCTCGGCGTCGCGGCCGGGGGCCGCGTTCCAGACCCACTGGTCCGCGCCCATCAAAGAGGCGTCGATGCCCGTCTCCGCGAGGCTCGAATTCACGGTCACGTAGTTGAGGCAGTGGTCCCAGGCGAAGGAGTCGTAGACGTAGGGGATGTGGGCCGCGTAGGTCGGGTTCGCCGGGTTGAGCAGGTCGCGCCACGCGACGTTCGTGAGGCCCGACGAGTTCATCGCCGGCGCGCCGTCCAGCTCGTAGTCGAACCAGACGAGTTTGTAGCCCGCCTTCTGGCCCGGGCAGAGGGGCGTGTTCGCCGTCGCCTTGGACTGCCCGGGCCAGGTCATGTCGCTAAAATTGCCCGAGAGGGCCTTGCGCTGCCAGAGGCGCTCCACGGCGACGTGCGTCGCGAAGAAGGCGACGTCGTAGGGCGAGTTCGACCCGAGCATGTCGCCCGTCAGCACGTCGACGCAGACGTCCTTGAGGATGTCGAGCTTCGCGGGCTCCGGCAACGACTCCAGGTAGTCCCGGGCGCTGCGCTCGTGGCGGTAGCCGTCGAGCGTGATCTGCAGGAACCGCTGCCACGTGTAGGTCGAGCTCACGTTGTTCGCGCCCTCGTGCTGGAGCATGTGCTCGACCTCGACGCAGTGGCAGGAGCACTCGTCCTGGGCCATGCCGAGGCACTCGCCGCGCGCGGGGCACGACTTGAGGCCGTCCATCCAGAGGTTTTTTTGCACGTCGCTGCTCTTCGACTTGATCTGCTCGACCCAGCCCGCGTTGTCGACGTGCTTCGACAGGTCGCCGAAGGTCTCGGAACAAGAACCAAAAGCGCCGCCCGTGAAGACGTGGACCGTGCCGTGGGGCGACACCTGGAGGTTGACGACGTAGTCCTCGAACGTGTCGTACAGCCGCTGCTGCGCGATGAACGACGTGCAGTCCGGGAACTGGGCGTTGTTCGCCGTGCCGCACATCTTGCGGCTGCGGACGAGGGTCGGCTCGGCGCGCATGTTCCAGGGGGACCGCAACAGGCCGAAGGAGTTGCCGAGGTGGCGCTCGGCCACGCCCGTGCGGTCTTCGGTGAAACCCGCGAGCTCGCCCTCGTCCACGCCCTCGTCCATGTCGAAGCGGAAGCCCGCGCGCCAGAGCTGCTCGCAGACCTCGACGTCCTGGCCGACGCAGGACGCGAAGCCGTGGGTTTTGAAGTGGCCCTTGAAGCCGCTCTCGTTGAGGAGCTTCGCGGAGATGACGGGCACCTCGGTGTAGGCCCAGGCGCCGTCGCGGATGACGCCCGTGTCCGGGTCCGCGCTCCCGAAGTAGTCCGCGCTCCAGATCGGCGACTCCCAGAGGTTCAGCAGGTCCTTGGACGTCGAGAGCCGGTCGCCCGTCGCGTCGTCGCGGTCCGTGTAGAGCCACCTGGGCAGCAAAAGGGTGATTCACCTTCGCTTCAACGTGAGTGTTCCGCGCGCGCGCGTTCCAGAAAAAGCATCCACGCTTCGAGACCGTTCCGAGAGATGATCGCTCGTCCAAAAATCAGCCGAAACGAGTGGAAAACGGCCGAGATCGGAGCCTTTGAAGCTGGGAATTTCGCTCTCTTGTGCTGCCCTGAGAGCCACTTGTCGATGGAGTAGTCCCAGTAGGGCAGCGACACTTCCGGGTCGATGGACTGGAGGGACTGCTCGAGCATGTTGCCCAGCGCCGCGTGGGCGTTGACGAAGGCGTAGCCCGTCTGGCCGTGGATGAAGTCGCACTGGTCGTTGCCCGCCAAGTCGTTGTGGATCAACGTCAGGTGGTCGATGTTCTTGAAGCGGTCCCCGTACAACGCCTGGCCCTCGACCGTGCTCAGCGACCAGACCTCCTTGGCCGCCATGAGGAACGCGAGGCGGTCCCGGTCCTTGAGGCCGCGGACCTCGCGCCGGACGTATTTCGCGTAAACCGTAAAACGGTGCGTCGTGGCGGTGCCGTCGACGGTGCCTTCCACGCTCAACGCGTGGACGCCCGTCTTCGTGTAGGTCACGGTGATCGACGGCCCGTCGACGCCGTCGTTCGGGTTCGCGTAGGGCCCCGCGGTCCACGCGTACGCCGCGCCCGCGACGGAGTTCTCGATCGTCAGCGACGTCGTCTTGTGGGGCTCGACGAGCAACGCGTCGTCGATGCCGTAGAGGAAGGGGTACTTGTCCGTCTCGCAGGGCCCGTACTCGTTACTCACGGCGATTCGGATGTCCACGGGGTCCACCAGGGTTTGTGTGTGCGGCCTCGCGACCAGCGCCGCGAGCCGGGCGCGGCTCGGCCCGGCGACGCGCAGCCCGAGGAGCAGGGAGCCGCCCAGCGTCGCCACAAAAAGGCCGGCGACGCCGCGCCGCCGTCGCGTCGGCGCCGCCAGCGGCCCGGCGGGCGCCGTGGCCCCGTACACCATCACGACGATCGTCCTTGGAAGCGAGGAGATACGGGCAGCTTCAGAGACGGAGAGGCAGTACAACATGGTCCGTGAAGGTGAAGCGAAGGTGAAGCGCGACGCGATGACTTGTGCAACTCTGCGAGCCGCGGTGGTCGTGGCCGCGGCCTGCGCCTTCGGCGCGCCGCGGTCGCCCCGCGCGTCGGCGCCGCTCCGGTCGACGGAGGCGGAGGCGGGCCACCTGTTGGGCTTCGGCGACGCGGACCACGTCATGAGCACGCTCCAGACCATCAACGCGCGCTGCGCGGCCCTCGCGGAGACGCGCGACGCGGCCTACGAGAGGGTGCTCTGCGAGCGCGTCGCCGCCGTCGACGCCGCCGTCGGCGCGCCCATGGACGTCGCGAAGCGGCTCCGCGCGGACGCGGCGGGCGATAGCGTGGCGATCGCCGCCGAGTTCAAACGCGCGAGCCCGTCCAAGGGCCCCATCAACGTCGACGCGGCCATCGCCGACGTCGCGTCGCTCTACGCGTCCGCCGGCGCGTCCTTGATCTCCGTGCTCACGGAGCCCGACTGGTTCCAGGGCTCGCTCGACGATTTGTACGCGGCGCGCGAGGCGGTCCACGGGCTCGGCGCGCGGCGGCCCGCGCTGCTGCGCAAGGACTTCGTGTCGCGGCCCGTGCAGGTGCTGGAGGCGCGGGCCTACGGCGCGGACTGCGTGCTGCTGATCGTCGCGTGCCTCGAAAAGTCGGAGCTCCGCGCGCTCGTCGAGGCGTGCGCGGCGCAGAACATCATGGCGCTCGTCGAAGTCCACACGGAGGCGGAGATGGCGTTGGCCCTCGACTGCCCCGGCGTCGAGTGCATCGGCATCAACAACCGCAACCTGCACTCCTTCAAGCTCGACATGTCGACGACGGAGCGGTTGATGAGTTACGCGCGATCCCGGGGCGCGTCGGAGGACCTGGTCTTCGCGTCCCTGAGCGGCGTGTCCATGCGCTCCGAGGTGGTGGCGCTCAAAGACGTCGAGTGCGTCCTCGTCGGCGAGGCGCTCATGCGGAGCAGCGACCCCGCGCGCCTCGTCGCGGAGCTGAAAGGGACGGTCGAGGCCTCGGTGTCCGTCGCCGACGAGGCGACGCGGCCCCTGGCCAAGGTCTGCGGCGTCACGTCCGTCGCCGACGCGTTGGCCGCCTGCCGCGCGGCGCGA